AAGACACATTTACCAGACCCATTAGTGGATTAAACTCTTTCGTGAATGATCTGTTAAATTTCATTCGTCTTTCGTAAATGATTTGAATCTGAATTTAGTTATTTGGTGACTAAATATATTTTTTAATTCAGTATTAGCTTTCTTGGCGATGACAAGACTTTTCCCATTATTTGAAGCTCATTGGAATTCACAAAAAACTATATCTATCTTTATTTAAATTAGATGCTTCTTTTATACTAAGAGAGTCATTTTTAGTAAATTCAAATAAATCTCACGAGAGGTTTTTTCAGGACAAGATTTTTAAAATGTGTGTAATTTTGTCAAACTTCTATCTTATTTAGTTGTGTAAATGTTTTCAAAAAACTATAAACAACAAAAAGATTTGACTTAATCAGAATTGTTTTTATTGGATCAAAAATTATTGAAAAATGAAGACTAATATTAATATAAAATGGATTCAAACAGTTCTATGAAATTTGACTTTAATAAATAAAATTGTAATATTATCTAGATGATTGATAGTCACTGGGAAAACATTTGGAAAAAAGTATTAGTTTCTCTGTACACTAATGAATAGTTTTTACTTTACATTGTATTCTTTCGAAGAATCAGCAATAAGCATTATCTCATATTTACAAAATTTATTTTCTGAATATATATTTATGTTATTATTGTGAATATGATTTGTTTTTCCCATCGTGATTGAATCTAATCACAGCCAATGACGAACTTTTCTATTAAAGGTTAATCCATTGAGGATCTTTCCTTCTTTCTTTCTTTAGATATTAGCTTTAACTGTCTATTTTGTTCGTTCTGTTAAGTTTTTTCTTTAATTTTTATATCTCTTTGTTTCTTCCTTTATTGATTCTCTTCTTTTTTTTGTGTAATAACTCTCATATATTGTTCGATTGTTTGATGTTACATCTAGGCATTGATATTCATTTCTATATACATGCTAAAAGTTAAACAAGCTGTATTTGTGTCACATGATAGATATGTCAATAGACTGTCTATTAAATTTTCAATAACTGTTTTGTTTTGCTCGTACACCTATAATATAACTAACTCAATTGAATATGCTGTACTTGCACATTTACGCGAATATATTTCTCTTTAACTTCTCAACCAGTCATTGTTCGAGAACAGGTTAAGGCCTCTCCTCCCTCAAAAAAAAAAAAAGTCAATTTTCGTCAGAATTTCCGAAATTGAGATAAATGCATGGGAAGATACCTCGTCATCTGATCTTTCATAAACGATAAAGTTTTTCAGTTGGTATCTCTCTTTTTTCCAAAAATTTTTTGAAGATTCCCGTAATTCCCTATTCGAAAAATATGCTGTCATTTTAGAAAAAAACAGGAAAATTTTCTCGTTTTTTTGATCGCGCATCCCAGATTTCTCTGTGTAGGCTCGTACTACATATTTAAATTTTTCTTTGTTTGAAAGAGCATGTCAAGATGCAGGGCATCATTTATATAAATTGACGCCAATTTTTAGAGGATTTCTTTAGTCATTGAAATTTTGACCCCTTTTTTGCACTTAAAAAGTAAGTATTTTAAAAAAAGGAGTTTGGTCATGCCCTACATCGTGAGATGCTCTTTCAAGAAAAAAAGAAATTAAACATATAGAATGAGCCTGGGCAGAGAAATTTGGGCTGCCAAATGTGCTATTTTTTATCCTTGTTTGGTAAATATCTCTGGTAAACTTTGGGATATATGGCTGAAAATTTCAGCCTAGGGTGAGATTGGCTTTTGACGAAGGGAGGGAGGAGTCTTAACAGATCAATGAATGATCGACATTAACAAAAAAACAAAGTAATAATTATTTACTTCTAGAGAAAAAATGACAGATGCGTTCGACAATAAATTCACACGGTTTTTTCAAAGGGTATTGTAGCGAGCATCGCATATCATAGTTTAATGTATCGCATGTTATGTTGCAAAGTGCAACACATAACTTGTATTAGTGAGAATAGAAATATAAAATCGATACTGTAATTACGAGCTCAAACAAAAAAGACTTGAAGAAGACAACAAATAGAATTGTGATTCATGATTATAATCATAATCGGAGATCTTATGCTCGTATCTTTGATCATAATCATGACAATGGAAGCTGGATATACTGGAAGCAATATTCGTTACGATCATCGTTTACATTCCAGTAGACATGCCTATTGATGATGAATAACAGATAAATCTTTGACGATTTTATCTACCGTTTTTAGTTGAGCCATTTTCTAATGTTTTATTTAGGTTGAAACACATTTCAATCACTTTTCTCTTAAACTTCGTTTTGTTAATTAATATGAGATTCTATTTAACTTTTTTGAGTTATTTTTAATATCAATGAATAGATTTTGTTGAGATCTATATGATTGACATGGTTTTCAATGTAAGATTATTGAGGAAAAGTATATATCTTGGCATATTTTTCTTTCACCATTTTTTTTGTCACAAGTAAGTTCTAAAGATGATATTCAATGACCATCAATCTTCTTCAGTTACAGCAGGAACTAGGTCGTTTAAGACGTTGATTCCGACTATCAGAATGATCATTTTGAGTAACAACAGAGAGATAAATGTTGAAGATTTATTAAATGGTTTATCATTGGCGATGGCAAAAAAAAAGTGAACTTTTATATTGACTTTGTACTCCCTTATTATCGATATAATCTCTTTTTTAATATTTAGCCCTCGTTATCAATACATTTGGTTTTCTTCGTTGGAAAAAGAATAAAATTTTCACCTTTGTGATCGAACACATGAATGACAATGTTGCTTTCGTTTTCGAAACACTCCTTGTTGATCGAATAGTGGTATGTACCATGAATATTATCAATCGATATTTGTGAGAAATATATAGCATTACTCAGACAACATCTTGATTTTTTCCATTCATTCACAGATCGATCATTACAAAAATCGAGGAAGACGTGTTCAATGGTTTGAAATACAAACAAAATAAAGTGACTTAATTTCTATTGTAAACAGTAGCAAAAGTTGATCGTTTCTCGTTAGTTTCTACCTTTTTTTACGTCTTAATAATTCATTTCAAATTGCGGAGCACCTTTCATCATCAAGTAAACGACGCTATTCAAGGCCATACTTCGACACACTACTGTCTTATTTATACCTTTTCGTTGTCGCATATGACTTTATTTATCTACTCTCATTAGACTCTATACAATACACTATATATATACTTTCTATTATTATCGCACGTTTTATTTTATAAATTATATTCGTTAATAAAGGTTAATACATATAAAAAATATCCATAATACACATGCGAAAAAAACATATGCCATGTTAATAATTATGTGTCGTAAAGTCGAATCATAAATGCTTTGAAACAAACTAGTTGTCCAATACTAATACATGAATTTCAACAAGAATACCTTTCTGAATTAGCGCTTTATCGTTGTTGTTTTTCATTGTTTACAAACGTATATGAGTGATTATTTCGATAGGTGGTGAGAAAGATAAAGATTGGAACTTATTTCAAAGAGAATAGCTGTAACATAAAGAATGAATCTTCTCATCTATGATGTTTATCTCTGAAGAAAGCCAACAAACGGAAAATATGAAAAACTACGCACTTTTTCTGGATAACTTGATAATCCAAATCGTGTTGATCATTGTGTAGCACAATACAACGTTTTTTTTTGTTTTGAAAAATATAAGTCATATCATCAAATACATTTCAATAAAATCTATCGATTGATGTATGAAATATTCCAAAAAAATTATATGGCGCCTCATATTAACGAAAAAAAAGAATAATATTTCAATCTTAGCAATACATTTTACAGAAGCATCCAAGTGTGATCTACTTCGTATTTATAAATAAGATTATCAAAATTTATTCATTATAGATCTTCAAAGATTGTCTAACGATAGTCTTAAGACATTTCTTGAACACTTATACAGTAACTATGAATGTTTTTTCTGCTTTAATATTATATGATTGTAAATACTTTATTTCAAATTTAAAAAATGAACAAAATCTAATAAAAAAATTCGATGATATTCATTGCCACTATCAGCCATCTGCTGTTGTTTTTCTTATAACAAATAGAAGTGTGATAAGATTGCTATATTCGATACAAATTGGTTATTTCATGTACAGAAAAATATAATTCATTAAATTAAGAATAAAGAATCACTTGCTACGATAAAAAAAATGCATGAAAATTAGGAAATACGTTTTGCTGTTACTGGATTTATTAAGAAAATCATCTAATCATGAATACTTGATTTTCAATTAATTAAAAATAATGATTAAACTGAGATAATCCTTTTGATTGAACCTCTAAAAACTAGAAAAGTTTCTTTCGAAATCGAAATATCCAACTTTGATAAAATCATCATTATACTCATTGACTTTTCTTTTATTTGTTCATAATCGATTTCATTTGATTTAGGTATTCACATAAAATAAAAACATAATTACAATTTCTTCTCATTCTGTATCTATTGAAGATTCTATGTAAGCACAAAGGGAATGCAACTTGCAAGAATTATCCTTCAACAATTAATAGATTCATCTAATTACTTTGTTTATGTCTGAGAGTAGTATTCAATATTGTATCTAATCTGATACTAAATTCCAAGCATATGCCATAAATCTCAAATTAGCTCATAATTACTTCGATTCTGCCTTGTGCAAACAAAAAGAAGTTCTACTATTATTCTGAAAGTATCAATAAAACGAAAGAGGAATGAACATAATTGAATTACGGTAAAGTAAGGATACGTATTCTGATTGGTTCTTAATTTTGCTATCAAATAAGCAATTTTTCTTTGACTTACTCGTTTGACTCACAGTCACTCTAACCATTGTTTTATTCCTACTATCTATGCGGAAAGAAAAACTACGACAGAGACATCTGAATGAACCATTTGGAAGAAGGCAATGAGTAATTCTTTTATTGGCGTTTTTGAGAGAATATTAAAGTGATCATTTGAGACAAAAAGAAGGAACAGATTTTTTTTATAAAGATGACATTGAATCATGATGGTAATGAAGATTATATTAATAATTCAGATTATAATAATATTGATGAAACAGAAAAAATTGATGATCAATTAATTGCAACAACAAAAAAGAAACGAAAGAAAATTAAAGGTAGAAGAAATCATTTTGAAAGACAATAGAAGAGTTTTGTTCTATTTCATATTTTTAGTTCAAACAGTTATAAATGATGCCATTGCTGCTTTATCGATTTCACAAAATGGTAGTTAATTGATATTGCTTTCTTTTTATGATTGAATTATTAACCTTGAGATAATTATGAAGGACTAATAGCTGATTTATAAAGAATGCCAATGTTTATGCTATAAAATTTTATCGACAGCTATAAGAAGAATATCAATATATTGATATTGAAATTCTGGAGTAAGTTGGTGAATAAGAATGTTTCTGAGGTTATCTTAATAGCATAGGTTTTGATGTGAGATGGACTCGTCCTCTAATTTTCATATTGTGTCTATGAAAGTTTTAAGTTGTTATCGAACAACTATCAGCTAACTTTTAGAAGGCAACTGTTCGTAGCCACTTTCTACCAAATGGAGTGTATTCGAGTGTTTGCTGAATTTTTAGTCCCTCTCACTTGTAAAAAGTCATGGTTGATACTCAACCTTACGAGAGTTTAATCAGAGGACTCAACTATTATAAAAAAAAGGGAAGTCATATGTGCAATTCGATCTATAAGTCCTATAATGTCGGTCAATTATATATTCTTTTCTACCTTATGAAAGATTATTGAATTTCACTTGTATTTTACTTCAAAACTAGAAAAATACAAAAGAATAATTTTTCAAAAGATAATGCGAATTATATGATTGATCTACATTGTAAGTTTTATATAAATAATAGGTTGAATCTCACCCTAAGTCAAATGTGCACCACTAGCAAGCCTAAATTTACCAGAAGGAAATTAGAATGCCTTATTTTTTAAAATCTAAATATTGAAATTAAACTCAAAATTTATTTCATACAATGAGTTATTGTCAGCGAATATCTTCAACGGTCTTTAGTATTTGAATATTCCTCATAATCATCATCTTATTTTGTTTTCATTACTTTCGATTAATCGAGATATTTGATTCAGGTTGATGTGGATAAAAGAAAAAACAACAAAAACTCAAAATAATCAGCATATTCTAATTGTTTATCTTGATAAATTTTTAAATTGATTAATTTATCTAGATGATGAAAAAGAAGACGAAAATGTTGACATTGACGAAACAAAAACAACAACTAAAAAGAAACAGAAAAAAAAAGAAGTATTTTGTATCTATTTCGATTTTTTTTTGTTTTCATTTTAAATATTATTCTTTCAAGCTACTACTACATCTGTTACTAATAACACTTCCATATCATTATCACGTCATCAACAAACAAATCCACCATCAATACCTATTTGTGATTTATATCCTGATGGAAATTATCCTGAAGGACAAATTCTTGATCATCCAATACCAAAAGTTCCACCAATAGATGGGTAAAAAATTAAATATTAAGTAATACAGTAATCACAAAAAGTCTCGCTATCAGATAAAAAGTATCTATAGTTTAATCCTTTCGTCTCGTACTTTGACTACGAGTAGAGCATCATCACAAGATCTAATCAGAACTTAATTAACATTCATGCCGAGAATCTAGAAGATGAGCATAGATTTTTTTTCTCTTCTGGCGAGGATATTTCAACATAAAAAACAAATATCATGACGTTGAGACAGCTCAATACTATCTCTATAACTAATAAAATTTTCATGTCAAACAGTTTTAGTTTGTCTGATTTATCAAGTTTTCTTGAGTTAATCTTCAAATCAGAGTTGATGGGAATTATCGAAAAGTGACCAATAAATCCGATTAATTTTAACTATTTGCCTTGATATTTTCACGATCGCAGCCATCAATGGAGAATAGATCTATGCTGAAACCATCGCAAACAATGGAAGCTTCTTCGCGTCTCAAGACTAAAGTACCTTATTTGTCATACAAGAGAGACATACGAATCTTTATCTGTTAATAAGAAGGTACTGGTTAACGCATTCAAATAGTGGGAAATCCGAAACGTGTCAAAAAGAGCATTTTTTTAGGCCTAGGAATAAATGTTTGTTTTCATCATATTTAAGGCCTATCTACCTCAGGTTGCTGCTTACAATTAGGGTTTACTGAACTCTATTTGTAAAAAAAAATATCAGACAAAAGAATTGAAGTTAATATATTTTTACCTGATAGCAGGACTTCTTGCGGCTACTATAAAAAATAAGTTTTACATAAACAGATCACTTGCTATTAATCGTACGACAAATGAAGAAAAACGTATGCTTGATATGACTCAAATAGAAATCTATCGAGAATTACGACAAGCAGCAGAATGTCATAGACAAACTCGAAAATGGGTTATGAGTTGGATTGAATCTGGTATGAAAATGATTGATATTTGGTAACTTTATTTGTTAATATTTAAAAAGTTTTATCAGAATTTCTCGTTTAAATTTCAATTAGTGAACGATTAGAAAATATGAATCGAACATTAATAAAAGAAAAAGATCTTGAAGCTGGTTTAGCTTTTCCAACAGGTATAATTTGTTCTATTTTTGTGTTTATTATGTCGAAAAATGGTTTATTAATAAGGTTGTTCACTAAATAATTGTGCTGCTCATTATACACCAAACAATGGTGATAATACTATTCTTCAATATGATGATGTATGTAAAATTGATTTTGGTACACATATTAATGGACGAATTATTGACTGTGCATGGACATTCGCATTTAATCCAAAATATGATGAATTAATTAAAGCTGTTCGAGATGCGACAAATACAGGACTACAAGTAATAGGAGTGAACTATGCTGTTATTTTTTTTTCATAATCTATTTGTTGTGTTTTGGTTTATTGTTTTTTAGACAGCAGGTATTGATGTTCGTTTGTGTGATATTGGTGAAGCGATTCAAGAAGTGATGGAAAGTTATGAAATTGAACTTGATGGAAAACTCTATCCTAGTATGTACAGAAAAAAAAATTCAAAGATTTTAAATTATTGAAAATATAAAATTATGCTATTTACAGAAAGATAGTGCTGATTGTACGGGAAGACATAGGAGCTTTGAAAATTTCTATAAACTTCTGAAGTCAAATATTGCTTTCTTCATATTTAGAAATGATAAAAGTTTAATTATAATTAAAAATGAAGTTTGTTCTTAAATGAGTTATCTTTCTGTATAATTATCTTTGACATGCAATATAAAATACAAGTACTTTTGATAATGTTGTTTTCTGTATTTTGTGTATTACTGAAAGTCTTAAGATGTTTATTATGATATTTTTTGTTTTCCTTAATTTAAAAGAAAACTCGTACGTATCTAGATTCGACGAAGAAAATGAATATATAACAAAGACAATAGAGATTCTTGATGCCTGTTACATAAAATTCACTTTAAGGCAAACAAATACATGATTTACTATGATGAGAAAATATTGAATGAACGGAAAAATAGATATTCTCGATGCGAATTTAACTTTTCATTTTGACAGTATTCTAGTTCTACCGAATATAGATTTATTTTGTATCCAACATATGAGTACTACAATTTTATAAACATAAAAATGGATGCACTTTCTCAAGAATGTAAAGTAGTATTATGATTTTCATCTGATGTGCAAACGCATTAATGAACTTCTTTTTGGAGTAATATATCTGATTCATATGAAACTTTATAGAAAAAAATATTAGGTCCAGATGTATATTCCTTATACCAAAGACGTGCACCACTCGTGCCTTGATCATACCACCTGTTGAACTGTGTTATTAGGATTATTTAAAAAAAGAATGTACATCAAACATTGAAAAGTTAAGAGAAGGAATTTAATCATTGATAGACTCATTCTTTCTGCGAGAAAGCGTTTTTTTTAATGTTTTTTTTATTGTTCCCATAAGGGTTAACAAATGATAAATTCACAGTTTTTTTCACGACATATAAAGTTTATGATGTAGAAATAGGAAAGTATTTTAGAATAAAGTATTCAAGAAGGAATGAAGTATTTTTGAAATGACAAAATAATCTTTTGTGTGCTTTCATAAATGAAAGGCATTCGAGATATGTATGGCTTGCTCGTTTATAGAGTCTATTTGCGAATTTACTGTTTTTCCTAAGATCCATACTTTTATAGTATCCTTTCGAAGGATCTGTTGCTATTAAGAATTCTGTCCATGTTTGTCTATATGAATTTGCTTCTGGTGATTGATTCAAATGTTTTTGGAAACGAATCCAATATTTATAAACATAATCTCTTAATGCTAGTTCTCTACTCAAACATAGTGCTGTCAAATCTTCATAATCCCATAAGCTGTACACTAGTTTAAGATCTATTTCATACACATGTTCTATTCTTTGTTTCTGTTTATCAGTATAGTAAAACTATGTGGAGAAAAATCATACTAGGTGCAGAAGTGAGAATGCGCAAAATAATTTTTTTCTTAGTTTAATTTCATTTTTAGCTAATGTTTTGTAAATTTTTCTTAAAACATAATAACTGTTTTTTTTACTTTCTTTTAACGTTCTTCTATGTGTTTACCTAATCCTATCGTCGTACCTATCTCCACTCTCAAAAATTTTTAAGCTTTAACATACTCGATTTTGATATTTGTATAATAAATTTCTGGCTTATCAACTGCAACTGCGCTTTGAACTAGCATTGCTTTCGTCTTTTTTATGTTAACCGGTAAAATATAATCATCTACGTATTTCTCAAGTAAATTTAATACGATCTTAGCTTAATTTTGAATATAAATCAGATTATCTGATAGTCTTTTCTCAAGAACTCCTTTAAACACTATTGTTAAATCATCTGCAAAAAGATGACAAATTATTTGAGGAAAATATGATGGTAAAAAGAAAATGTGCAGGCAAAACAAGAGTGCTGCTAGTACACTGCCTTGTGGTGCTCCAACTGAAATTGTAAACGTCTTGAATTTAGCATTGCTATGGTTTATAAATATTTTCCTATTTGCTAACCAGTTAAAAATTCATTTTCTCAATTCTAATGGCATATTTAATTTCTCAAGAGACTTCATTAGAGCAGGATACCACATACGATCAAAAGCTGTTAAAATGTCTATAAATATTGTAAGTGCAGGTCTATTCAGAGCTGCTACTGTCAATTTGAGATCCTCAAGTAGGGCAAGAATTCTTGTTTGTAATTGTCTGTTTGTGATGAACCCTGATTGCTCGTCTACATAGATTCCTTGATCATTACACCATTTTTCTATACGTTCAGCTATTATTTTTTCAAAAACTTTGGCTAAATTAGGTAGTGATGAAATAGAGCGAAGACGATCTTCCGTTGGAAAAGCTCCTTCTTTTTGATAAACAAATTCCTTTTTACGATTTTACCTTTTTCAAAGAAATCACCTGCTTCTGCACATTTATTAAAAAGAATTGTTATTATATTTAAATACTCTTGTGGCATATGTTTTAGCAAGAATGCAGATGTATCTGTATTATCTAAAGATTTTTTGGATCTTAGTTTCTTCCAGTGCATTTCTACTTCGACAAGCTTTATTTTTTCTATTGAAATATTATCAATTTTTTTCATTTTATTGTATTCTACTACATATTCTACATGAGGCGGATTTTTTTCGTTGTGTATAGGTTCAGAAAAATGTTTTTCATAGTATTGCGCTAATCTATCAGCTATTTCTTGGTTATCCTTTACAATTTCTTTTTTAACTGTCAAACCTTTAAATGAAGGAGAATATGGACGGAATAAATGTTTGCTGTATGTCCAAATATTATTACCTTCTTTTATATGCTCTATTTTTCTCTCTGCTTTATGATATTCATATTTTATTTTTTCTTCTGAATATATTTTTCTTGCTTCTAAAAACTTATAATAATCTCCCAGAAATCTTGTTTTTCTAAACTTTCTTTTCTTTTTATTCACTGATTTTACTAGACTTACTAAAAACAAGGTGGCCAAGGGGAGCGAAATTTCTTTATATTTTCATATTCACTGCATCTATCACAAAGGGTTGAAAGAAATTCAGAGATGTTGAAAAAGGTGTTAAATCCAAAGCTGTAAACTAAGCAATTCTAATATAGATAAACTGCAGGAAGAAAAAACATAAATAATTTCCACTTAGTTTTTCTAAATACTCCTTTGTCATCTGAGGTAAAAGGAGATAAAGAGTACTGGATAGTGATCTGATGTTCCTACTTCTAATCTATTTACATTCCATTTTTCTATACCTTTACCTATTCCAAAATCAATGATAGAATTCGACTTTTTAGAGGTGGAACTACTACAGTGTAATACTTCAAATCCATTTTCATCTATCCATTCTTTCAATCTATTTCATCTAACATTGTTCTTTTCACATTTCCAACTTTCGTGTTTCGCATTAAAATCCCCAAAAATAAAGATATCTTTGTCTTTGTGTTTGTGTTTATCGAACAAGTCTAAAGGTGGATTGCAGTTAGGTGGAATATAAACAGCACCAATAAATTTTTTTTTTCATTTAATATTTCAATTTCCAAGAGAAGAAAACTTTCTGATTCATCTGTTACGGTAGTGTTAAAGCTATCATGAACAAGACAAGCAACTCCTCCAAAGATATTGCTGCCTTTTTTTTTTACTAAACCCATTAAAATTTGAAATGTGAGAGAGTTTACGTGTCTGTTTTCCTACTCCAGGTAGAATGCACACGTGATGACAATATGAAGAAAGAAGAAGATCAAGTTTTGAAGTGTGTGTATACAAACTGTCACAATTCCATAGAAGAATAGACAAATTTTTCGAAATGTTCTGAGGTCTTTCTTTGTGCCAACTTCTGCTCAATTCAGATACACATACTTTCCTATTCCATTTATTTACAATAGAAAGCAACAGTTTTTATTATTTGTATTTCCATTAAATTGATTGATGTTGTTATAATTCAATATGGGATCACAGTATTTGAAATTTTTATTCAGCATTAGGATCTTTATGTAATTACCTAATGCTTTATTTAATGTTTCAGTTTGTTTATGAACTAATTGTTCTAATGAGTTGATGTGTTTAGAAAAAGAAGATTTAGCTTGATTTCTTAATTGTTGTATATCATCATCATAATGATTACAATTAGTTTTTATTTTATTTATTGCATTACAAATTGTTGTTGTTGTCGAGCATGTAAAAAAAATTATTTGTTTTATACTATTAGTCATTATTGTGATCATTTGATGTTGTTGCTGTCCCATGTAATAAAAACCGCAAGAAAATCGGCGGTTAACCGCGGTTTTACCGGCACCCATCAGTGAAGATTTACCGCGGTTACCGCTGAAAAAAACCGGTTAACCAGTTCGTCTATAATCTTTGACAAAAAAAGTGTTCCAAATCATCAATTAAGCTATTTTAGACATCCTTTTTTTTCACTTTTACGTGTGGTAAACATGCGGAAAAAGCCGCCGGTTTACCGCGGTTTTATCGATCCGGTTACCGGCTCCCATATTAGTGTAATTTACCGGAGGAAAGACAAATACCGCGGTTTACCGGAAAAAATTATCCGGTATTCACAACATGGGGTATGATCGGCCATGTTTGATTTATTGAATCCATATGTTCTTTATATTTTTCTTTATTTCTTTGTTGATCTTCCATATATGTTTTCTTCAATTCAACTAATTCATCATTGAATGATTTAATTATTTCGTTCATGTTTTGGTTCGTTGTTGTATTAGTTGTTGTTGATGTGGTAAGTAATGGCCATTGATTATGATCATTTCTACAATAATATTGTTGTTGGTGGTGGTGATGATACATTGTTTTATCATTTTGATTACGATATTCAGATGGAATAAAAAGTTGAATACGCTGTGGACGTTTTTCGGGGCGTTTTCTCAATTCACATATTATTTGTCTACGATAATCATCTAATAATGGACATTTACAATCTGTTGATAAATGTTCAACTCCATAGTGGTGACATTTAATAGAACGTTCTTTATGTTCTTCAATATTTGTACGATTGCTACCACAATGAAGACAGATATCATGTTGTGTCCTGGCTGATTACATCGTCCACAGATCAGAATTTGTGTTGTTGGAAGGAATTCATTGATATCCTATAATTGGACCCATTAAATTAATTTTTTTACTATTTAATAATGTGTCATAATCTTTTTTATCTTAAAGTTCAATCTTAATGTCTTGTTCTTTCATTAAGAATACAATTCATTGTGGAGATTGAACGTATGCTTTTACAATTAATACACAATTCATCTTTAATATCTTGATCTGTAATTGTCATTTTTATCCGTTTTAAAAAGATTGTGTGGTGTGGAGGTAAATGTGTTGGTGGAATTGGATTAATTTTTATATTAATCAATTCACCTGGATATCTTTCTTTCTTACATTAATACACGTACAATTCTGTTGTTGTAATAATCAATTGAATATTTTCTTCAAAGTCAATTCACCATGTGCGAACTAAAATTTGTTTTGAAAAAGAAGGATTTTCATATAAAAAAATCATTTCTAATGTATTTTAATAATTCATTAACTACTTTTACACCTTGTTTCTTATCATTTCACTTCGGCTCACATTCTAGTTTGAAAAGTGGATATTGATAATTTGCAACATAATTTAATGCAAATTGATCATTTGTATCATTCAATTTCTTTTTTTGTTTGCGATTTGAAATTATGTTCCATTCAGAAGTATAAATATTATTGTTCAATTCTTCATCATCGGAATATCTTGGGTGTTCATTTGTTGCAGATCTTTTTAATGAATTATTTATATTGGCATTCTGATTAGTATTCACTTCTAATTGATTAATTGCTTCTTGTAATTTCTCATCATTACATATACGATCCTTCTGATTATTTGTCATGTTATGATAATATTCATAACTCATACTTGTATTTAATTTTTAATTTTCTACTTGTGGACCCTAAATTTTTTCCTAAAAAGCACTGGACAGTAAAGAAAGAGGACAACATGTAAAGAGAAAGCGTTTGTTTTATTAACTCATATCATACTCATTGGTTAAATTTTCTAAATAAAATCATAGTCAATGTCGGATTAACAATTATTCTGATAAAAAATCGACAAAAAAAATTAAAATTTTAGTGAATATCGTTATGACAAGTATATTATGCGACAGAAACAAATACTCTATAAGTATATAAATATGTTCAGTTACATCTTGCCTAATTAAATATTCTTTCGTGGTATTTTCAACAATCGTTAAATTCGATCGCACGCCGACGAGAGTTTAAGCGGTGGTCACTTCAGAAGCGGTGGACATCTTTGCCTTAGATGATGTTGAGATCACTTTGTATTGCTTAGACAGAATTAGATCTACTTATATTCGCCCTCCATCATTTCAATGTAGGCTATAAAATAAATGAATTAATGAGAGAAAAAAATGTTCTCGTGAATTTAATTTGTTTAATAAACGATATTTAACAACTAAAGATTCCCATATGTTTGACTGCGATCAATGCGACGCAGAATTGGCTCTACGCGTAACTGCGACGCAGTCGTTAAAAAGTGGCGATATGGGTTAACTATTCGAGTAATTTATAAATCAAATTTTTTCATAAATTTGTTGCCATTTTTAGTTAAATCTATTCGTAATCTTCAAGGTCATCGTATTGAACAATATCATATTCATGCCGATAAATCAATACCTATAGTTAGAGGAGGTGAAGCAGTTCGTATGCTAGTAATATAATTTCAATACGAAAAAAAAATATCTACATTTATGATTGTTTCTATTGAATTTTAGGAAGGTGAAATGTATGCAATTGAAACATTCGGTAGTACAGGCAAAGGTATAGTTCATCATGATATGGAAGTATCACATTATATGAAAAATTTTCATGTTGGACAAGCTTCAGTTCGGTAATAAAATACAAAAAAATAACAATTTCATTAAATTTATTTAATTTTTAATTTATTAGAAATCCTAAATCTAAACAATTATATAATACAATAACAAAAAGTTTTGGTACACTAGGTTTTTGTCGTCGATGGTTAGATCGTTTAGGTGAAAGTAAATATTTATTGGCACTAAAAAGTCTTGTAGATGCCGATTTTGTTAATCCATATCCACCATTGTGCGATATAAAAGGTTGTTATACAGCACAATTTGAACATACAGTAATATTAAGACCTACATGCAAAGAAGTTGTGAGTCGAGGTGATGATTATTAGTCATAACTTATTTTTTTGATGTTGTACTTTATGTGTTTTGTCTTTTAAAGGATTTTATTCTTTTTTTTTTGTGTATTGGCAACGAGTGAAGTATTGTAAGACAGTAAACAGTTGTTTTTTTTTCTTGTAAAAGAAAAAAAATGAAAATTTTAGATGCTTATCTATAACTTGCATATTTCTAATCGTAATGATCAAGTTTTTCTTTTATCATCGAAAATGGTTATGAATAAAGCCAATGATTATGACAAAAGAGATGAAGAAAGCCAATTCTCGAAATCACTAGAAGAAAAATTCGCGCTACGATTATTCATTATATAAAACATTGTCCTAATCGTGGTAATGATTATTTCTCATTTTAAAGGTGCTAAGAACACGAATTGCTAACACCGACAGTTTTCGATCACTTCAGCCGAAGAATAAGTCCTGACACACACAGAAAAATTTATTTTCTCATTTTTTCTCGAAATCAACTTTTGCACCAAAAAAAAGTGCAGAGCCGCCACGTTTCTGTGATATACATGTAGAATATTCGATCGAGTTGAAGCCTTTCTTGCAGGTATTGAGCACACTTTGGGGAATGCCTTCTTTTTTGTTTTGAAACGTATTGTACCGTTGCTTTTTGGTAGGTTTCACAAAAATAACTCTAATAAAAAACATATTTTTCGAGAGTATACTGAGTGTTTTGATCTTTGTAGTCGAGTGAAAGAAGATAAAAAAAAACCAAAAAAAATTAAGTATCCCAAACAGTGTCTAGTATTTGTAAAGAAAAGTGCAACTCTATCGGAAGTATTGCACAATAGAGAGCGGGAGGATTTTCAGCATTAGCAAACTAGATATTTCCTAGAAGGAAGTATTTAAGACTTTAGATCAAGTTCTATTTATAAACTTAATATGAGATCGAAAACTATGAAAATTAAAGATATTCATTTGTTAGTATTCATCGAAGATATTCACCTTTGTATAAGATCTTCGTGATACTTGTCATTGGTAAGTTTTTCCAAAAATAGTCTATAGATTTCTTCTGACACATTTTTCATCATACCAAGTATTATTCTTTAACATTTTCTTTCTTTAAAAGCTGTGAAAAACATATTCTTAAATAGGAAAAGATTTCTGTAACTATACATTTCACTGTTTCATTTCTATTGATAGTTGCATGAAGCATCGTAAAGTCTTCGAAAACCATCGCAATTATGAATTCAGCGAATAAAAAACAAAACTTTCGAAATTTATTAGCTTTAAGAATTGAAATTCATAAATAATTTTGTATTTTCTGTCAAATCTTTTCTACAATGTGCTTCACTTTCAGATGCGTTTATTCCTTTTAAATTTTAAAAACAAATTAATATTTATTTTCAGATGTCATCAAATTCACTTCATGAAGCATCACATGTTGAAAGTTGGTATGTAGCCGATGGCAATTTTCTTAATCGACAACTATCAGCATGGCTTGAACAAGTAACTAACAATACAAATGATCAATCAAATGTTACGAGCTATTATTGCACCACATGCTGGATATAATTATAATGGACCAACAGCTGCTTATCTATTCAAATATATTGATCCAACAAATAATAATCGTATTTTTCTTCTTGGACCATCACAACATTATAGTTTAGTTTAAATGCATGTGCATTAACAAATCATATATATTATGAAATACCTTTATTTGCTATTAAAATTGATACACAAATATCAACAAACTTATAAAAATAGGTCATTTTTCGATTATGAATTAAGAACAAGATTCTAATAAACATTAATTAGAAATGTATTTACCTTTTATTACAAAAATATTTGAAAAGTAAGATATTAAATAAATTTCATTTTTAAATAGACAAAATGAAAGTCATATTGAACTTAAAAGTCAATTGGTATTAATTAAAATCTGATAAAAATGTGAAATAACAAGACTTTCAGATTCTTTTCAAATTCATACTTTGATGTAGTTAGATCTTATCACGATTGATTAAGAATTTCAAGATAATGAATACATAAAAAGAAAGAAGACGATTGCCTCATATTAATTATAAATCGTAGAAGAATATGGAAGCTAAAGAATCAGTTTGCTTGACATACTCTCATAGGCCATGCATAAAAATCAAAAAACACTGTAATAGACAAATTTATATGATGTGAAAGAATATATTCTGACGCTTTTCTCATCGGAAAAAACTTTTCAGTGCAGCCCCTTTAGAGCTAAAATATAATACATACATATGTTCTTTAGCCTTATTGTATAGATGCAAAATACGTTAAGTGAAAAGTCTCTAACAGATTATAGCTGCCTTCCAAGGATCATCAATCACCTGTGGAGCGATCTGTCTGTTTTTCGTTTTGAATTTCGAACAGAGTTTTGTTCTTTTCTTTCCCCTGGCACTCTATATGGGGTGTGAGCGATTACATCTACAATAGATCTCAAAACATTATTATATATTTCGAAAAGCTCAGAAGCACTGATATTGATTATTCTCGAAAGTTGTAAGTTCATTAGTTTACATTTTCTTACGTTGATCATATAACGGCAGCTGTGAAGCAATCCATGACTATCCATCATCCTTGACATCCTGAATAGTAATGTTTATCTGGACAAAAATTGAAAAACTACACCATTTAGAACATTTATAAACATATTACAGCCATTTAAATTTCGAAGAAACCTTTGTCATTTTCTAGAGCAGCTTAATTATTGTTTTTAATGCCGTCTAACGCCTATTTTTACGTTGCTTAGAAATCCTAAGAAGTCCGAAGCTTGTTGTCATTGGTTACTATGAAAATGTATTCGATGAGGGTTGGTTGCTCTTTCCTTCCTATTGCTAGAATCTAGGGAGGTCGAAAAAGTCTCGATTTAAACTTACAGTCATTGTGTTAATAAAACTGATCGTATTATACAGTTGAAAATAGAATCTACATAGAATGATGATGTTTTCATCGAGAAAAATCCTTTTAAAACAAATATTATTCATATAGCAAATAAAAGTCTGCAAAAATTAACTACAACTAATTAATAAATTTCTTTATTTTAGCAAACTTCATGATTTTCAATTAATTCAAATTCTTGTTAGTTCACTTGATTCATCTCAATTACAAAAATATGGATAACTATTAAGACCTTATCTATGTGATCCACTATATCTATTCATAATTTCGTCTGATTTTTGTCATTGGGATATAACACATATGCATTTCTTTTTAACAAGAAACGAAGAAGTTTCATTCGAGGTTGAGAATTTTCCTATACATCACATAATCCATCAGATGATGGTAATGTGGCAATATATGGAAAAATTATATCATCAAAAAATGAAATTAATTGAAAAAATGAATTTATCTGATTTTCAAAATTATCTTCGTTCAACATATAACACTATATGGGGTCGATATCCAATTAGTCTTTTACTTGCTGTAAGTTTCTTCTTTTTTATTGGCGTATATATGATTAATTGTTGTCTCTTTCGTGATGTGATTATATAGATAATTGAACAGAGTAAAAATATTATTTCAGCTAATATATTACCGAAATGTTTTATACAATATGTTAAATATGATCAATCAAATCAAGTAAAAGCAAACCAAATGATACAAGTGTTAGCTATGTATTTGTAATTTTGACTATTAATTTAGACGAAACAAGTTGAACAATAATTTATATTCCATTTGAACATTCGTTGTTTTAGAAAGTTTTCTTATGTATTTCATATTTTTTGTTGTTTATTTATCATGCACATTGTATTCTCGTCTTTTGATTTTCACTATTAACGTATGTTGTAATATTCAATAAAAATAAAAAGTGTATTTATAGACGTTTTTTAGTCTTTTTTTTAATGCATAAATTAGAAATAGTTTTCACTGTCGCTAGATTAGAACTAAGTTTTATTTTAAGCGTGTAATTGCGAGCTTGTCCTATGAAGCAATGAAAGATAATCGAATCTAACATCTTGACATAGTCATCACGAAATTTGTGAACTGACTACCCAGTCAGACAAGCGTTGAGGAAAACGACGTTTTTACGCGTAAAAAGCGCACATTTTTACGCGTTTAAAAATATTTTTTCTTTTTAGAAATGAATTTCATTACCTTAATATTTACAAACTTGCTTTTTCTTCAAAAAAAAAATATTTTTTTTAACGCGTAAAAATGTGCGCTTTTTACGCGTAAAAACGTCGTTGTTTCAACGCTTGTCTGACTGGGTATGTGTATACATAAGTATATTTTAGTCTTGTACTAGAAGGTATGGGAAATTCGAAATTTAAGTGTAACTTCTTTCCGTGTGCTTTTTCTCATGTTTGGATATAATTTCTCGAGTTACCTGGAAAGATTTTGTTCTAAAACAATGTTTTCGTAGTGAATCTTAAAAAAATTAGATTAAAAATAAAGTCTTGATAACATTAGTTTTTATCCGAAATTTTTAAAAATTTTAATTGTCGTGGGGTAAGAGAAAAATACTGTTTCATTTTTGAGAAACTCGTTTTCTTTCGATATGATAGTAAAACTCCATAACTACGGATTCGTATTCAGAGATATTGATTATCAGAATTTCAGTTCCTCATGAAGTGAACATGAAATTTGGAATGTGCAGAAAAAAACCGCACTGAATAATATACTCAATACTTAAAACTGGTTTTCGTAAAAATTCGATCTAATAAGAACCATAGAGTAGATTATTCGAAAATAGCAGCGATGAAGTGTAGAGACAAAAATTTGATTAAATCTTGTTTTAAGTATTGAGCATATTTGTTTAATATAGATTTTTCTGTTGATTCTGAATATGTTGTTCATTTCATTTAGAACTGAAGTTCGGATAGTCAAAATTTCTGAATATGAACTCATATTTATGACGTTTTGCTATCAAATTGAAATAATCGATTTTTTTTTTGAATAATGAAACAATTCTTTTCAAAAATATGGTGTCATTTTCTTCCTAACCATATAACGTGTAAAATCATCGAAAAAATTCGAATAAATATTGAGGCTAGTAAAACTTCATGCTTTCGATTTATATCAATTTTTATTATCTTTTTTTGAGTGTTTTTTAAAGTTGTATCCAAACTTAACAGAAAAAGCACAAAAACAAACAAATTTACTCAAATTTATAATTGTTGATACCTTACAAGTTTTTCTTTTAACTAACTCAGAACATAAAAGTAAATAGAATTATTTTGTTTATATGAGTGCATATTACGAATGTATATTTCCGCAAACATACTCGGTACAATACGGTCATTTGTAACAAAATTCCTTTTTGCAGTTTACTCCTACGTTGACTACATACGATCATAAAGATAAAAGATCGTTACGTTTAATAATGAAATCCTGATCTTGTAAAGACACTAACGATCATCCATAAACGTAGTATTCTTCGTTTTAGTACTTTTGTTTTTTTGTATTGTTAGAATAAATTAGAAATGCTACATAACTTCTCGAAATCAGATCATACACAATGTTAACATAATATTTTAAATAAGTCATATTGACAACGATGTGATACAAGAATAAATAATAGAACATGTACGTCACACTCAAAGTATTGTGTAATCTTATATTTAACTATTACTTTCTATAATTCTTATCTTTTTGATTTATGTGAACAAAAATAAAAGAGTATCTGGATGGCGAGATAAGGTTAAAGTATAACCTTCAATAGAAAAATGGAAGGCGTATGTTATACTAATATTTATTTTAAAAAATTGACTGTCTCTACACTTAATCAATGTAATGGCGTAGGGTAGTGAATTATCTAATTATTTATTAAAAATTAAACTCTGGATAAGTAATTAATTATCTTGAGAAATAGGATTCGACCTTAAATACAGTTTAGTTTTTTACTTTCTCTATTAGAAAGCATTTTAAACATGCAACTACTCATCAGGGTTATTTATCTCGTTCGTCATTAAAATAAATGTGAAAATTAATCGTTATCTGAATGCGTGATTTGTGCACGTGTATCGTACCTTGACGGAATTTGTACTTCGTATAAAATCAATCTTTTATTGTTAAAAGAACGTATCAGACTATGATTGTTTCTATGTTGTATGGATTATATTTGTATTTATTGAGCATTGCACCAATATGCATCAATATTTGTGCATGGTTTCATATTTCTGTTGAGGTGACATTTTTTTTTTTCGTTTATGTTGATGATTCTTACGCGCACCTGAAACATATGAAAGAAGGACATGTGTATTGTCCCGTCCTGTGTCATTTTCTGTTTTTCTTCCTCTTGACATATCTTTTCATCTAATAGAACAAAAAGAAAAAAAAAACACCCTAAAGTTCATGCATCACTTTCTTCTTTTTGTTTTATGACGACCAAAGTATAAGCTTCAATTGTCCTATTCTAATAAATCAATCGTTTTTTTTTCTTTTTCAGCCGTTACTAACGACATTAAGTATATTAACAAGGATCAATAGAAGTATTAAGTATGTTTAATTTAAGAAGAAAAAAACGACTACCATTGTGAATATTTTAGTAAGATTAAGATTCTTGTACATATATAAGAATGAAAAGAACTAGAAATGCAATTGTTGGTAAAAGTGATCAATATTTATCTAGTGCGTTAGATGTTCTTCCCGATCTTCATGTTCATTTTACGACAAATAATGGTGATGATTACTTATTAATTAATGATAATGAAAGGAAAAAAGCGAAGAAAGTTTTTCGACATCAACCAAGTACAATTAATGAATTTGATCGACAATTATCAACAATACATAGAAAAATTGATCAATTTCAAGTAAATTATTTTTTCTTATTAATTATTAAATTTAGTTTTTTTTTTATGAACAAACTTTAGGCAGCACGTGATGGTAATATAGAACAATTACAAACTTTACTTCAAGAAAATGAATCTAATTATAAAATATTTTTTAATCGGCTTGAACCTGAAACAAAACTAACAGCTTTACATTATGCTGCACGTTTTCATCATCTTCAAATATGTCAATATCTTATTGAACACTGTGAAGCTGATGTTAATAAAGCAGGTGAAGATGGCATGACACCACTTCATTATATTGCTCGATTTAGAGTTGAAAAAGACACTCAAGTAATATGTTTTTTTCTTTCTTGAAATTTTATTTTTCATTTAAATTTATTAATTTAGGCTGTGTCTTATGAAGCAGTGATTAGATATTTAATTCATCGTGGTGCTAAAATAAATGCGCGTGATGTTTTTGATTCAACGTAAGTTATAGAGAGATATTCAATTGATTTTGAAAATAAAAATAAAATAATTTTTGAATGAATTTTTCTAAGCATGGAAAATTAATCTTAAATGTAAGTATTGAATTTCAATAAAGGTGATACTTATCAAGAGCAACACGTAGTCGGATTATTTTATCTGAAATAACAGAAATTCAATCTGTCAATCCTACCGATCTCGTTATATTAGTATAAGCCATAGAATTATTGTAATGATTTGCATGAAAATTTAAGATTGAAAACAAAAAAACAAAATCTCAACACTAACTTTAGCAAAAAATAAACACAAATACTTGTATATGCTATTTGATTGTTACTACAGTTTCTATTTTTCTATAATAGACCTCTTCATCATGCTTGTGAACGCAATAATGTCCAATGCGCTGAAATACTCATCTCTGAACGTGCTGATATTGAAGTTTGTATTTATTTACTTCTATTGAGTTGATATTCACATTTTTTTTTCAGGCATGTGATCGTCAAAAAATGCATCCATTGCATGGTGCTTCTTTTTATGGTAGTGTTGATACTGCTCGTTTATTAATTGAACATGATGCTGATGTATTAGCTGCTGACGGAACAGGTTCAATACCATTTGCACATGCTTGTCGCAATTCACATTATAACATATTGAATATGTTTTTTACAAAATTTAATCAACATGAACATTTTAATGACATAATTATAGCTACTGATGCTGAACATAATACACTTTTACATTTAGCTGTTGCTTCTGCAAATGTTCAAATAGTTGAATTACTTTTATCTAAAAATGCTGAACCATCAGCTAAACGTAAAGATGGACAAACACCTATACATTTATGTTCAAAAACTGATTCAGTTGAAATTCTTGAAAAATTAATTCAAGTTGGAGGTGATATTAATGATATTGATAGTGAACATGAAACAATTTTACATAAAGCAGCTGCACATAATAAAGAAAATGTTCTTAGATATGCATTAACAAAACAAGTAAAATATGTTGTTTTTTTATTCTTCGATTCTTGTATTCAAATCTTTGTTTTTATTTTCTAGACTAATAAAGATTTTATTCTGAAAAAAAATAGTGCCGGTGTAACAGCTTTACTTTTAGCTGCTACCTTTGGACATGCAGCATGCGTTGCACTTCTTTTAGAATTTGGTGCTGATATGTTTAATGATCGTGATAAACGTGAACACAGTCCTGTTTATTTAGCATCGATGAGAAATCATATTCAAACATTAGAAATACTTTTGCATCATGCTAGAGAATATGGTGGATTAGAAAAAGAAAAATCAGCTATTAATGAAATTGATCGATATAGTCGAACGGCTTTACATGCAGCTGCAGAACTTGGTCATGTTGATATTGTTAATGAATTATTAAAACGAGAAGTTTCATTAACAATAAAAGATGATGATGAATATACACCATTAATGTTATGTTGTAAAAAAAATCGTTTAGATGTTTTAAATGTTTTTATTGAATATATTAATGGACATTATCAAACATCCAGAGAAAAACTTAATATACTTGAAGAACGTGATGATGGATCAAATACAGGTTATTTGAAAGATTTATAGGGATCTTTTTTCAGCTGTTAATGGAAAATAATGTCTGAAATATAATAAGAATCATTTTAGCCTTTTTGTTGAGATTTATTTGCGAAGAGAACAACTATCATTTTTCAGTAAAGAAAAACTCATTTTTCATTTATTTTCATTTTGTCCATATTTTAAATAATATGAAAATATTCTAAAAAGACACCGATTCGATGACTTCAATACTTTCAGATATACACAAAAAAAAATATATGTTCATGGTAATAGAAATCCTTATTCTTCTACATACTATCTTGCAGATTTTTAACATGTTTTATTCTAGATTTCCTAAAAACTTTCATAGAAACTCAGAGTATGTTGTATCGATCACTTTTTAGAATAAAGCTGAGCGAATACAAATACTTGTGTTCGAGAAAACCCGCATTTGCCAAATTCTGTCCTATAAGGAATGATCTTCAACTGATAAATTGTTGTTCAGCCGAGATTATATGGATTTTATAGATCTAAATGAACTATAAATACTCAGAAGAGTTCGTGTTCTTAGCCTGTTGCTACAGAGATACTGAACTTTTACGAAATTTTTTGAAAATAAATGCTGTGGTAATAGAAAAACTAATTTTCCAACTTCAACTTGAAACTTTGCATAGAGACAGATTTTAACGAGAATTTTTCTTTTCGTGTATGTATCAGGTCTTGTCGTTGTTTCTATCTTAACATATTACAACGATAATATTGGGTTGTTTACATCATTCATATGAACCAGCAGATTTTATGTTCTTATTCCAGAATAGATCTACATAATGTACATAGTGTCGACTTAAAAGTAATTGGACAGTTAAACGACTTCTCTCATTAGACTTTATTCAATACGAAAGTTTTGAAAATCATATTATCGCTTTTAAAACAAATTTATTTGTTATCATAAAAGATTTTAAATTAATAGTCTATAATATCTTCTTTTAGCACTTCATATTGCTGCTGCTGAAGGTCATTCTTCTATTGTAAAACTTTTACTTGAACAAAATTGCGATTTACAAGCACGTAATATAATATCTTGGTTACCAATTCATTGTGCTGCTGAGCGAGGTCGATACAATAGTGTTCGAGTATTAATCGAAAATCATAGTCCTATTGATCCTGTGGATAAAAATCAACAAACACCTCTTCATTTAGCTGCACATAATGGACATTCTGAAGTAGTTAAACTTCTATTAAAAAATGGTGCAAAAATTGATAAACGTACAACAAATGGTGATAATTGTCTTGATTTAGCTATTAGTTCAAATCAATATAATGTTGCTGAAATTTTAGTTAATAATCGTGATTGGCCATTAATATTACGTAATGCTCAATATGATAAACAAACGAATCATTGGGATACACCATTAAGAAAATTAATACGAAAAATGCCTGATATAGCATTAATTGTCTTAAATAAATGTTGTACAGTAATAACAAAAAATAAAAGTGAACAAGTAGCATTAGATAATGAAAATAAAGATGAAAAAAAGAAAAAAAAAACAAAAAAATCTGTTCAAGAAAAAATTCTTGAATTACAAGAAAATTTAAAGAGTAATAATATTGAAACAAGTGGTTTAACAAAAGATGAAACACAATTACAAAAATTAACATTTGTTTATACATACGAGTTTTTAGATGATCAATTTCTTCTTCACGAATGGGAACAAGAACACAGTAAGTTACTCAATAAAACAAAAAAAATATTCATTCTTTTTCAAGTTTACATTTAAGTCTGTATATTAAAGTCATGCCATAATTAAGTAAAATTGAGTGAGACATTCATTGACAATAGGAGATCGAATGATCTGAGGACTCAGTAATTGCTATTCTTTCATGAATACAAGTAATAAAAGCTTCTCTGTAATAAATGTTTGCACAAAAGAATTAAAATTTTGAAACTGAGAAAGTTGCCAAAAGGTGATACAACTGCAAGTGTTATAGTGCAATTTAAATGCTTAGTAAAGTTTTCTGATGAGTGACAGTTGGTGATTCTAAAAAAGGCATTAGTCATCATCACTTTTATTAATGGATGTGCGCTGTAAAAATAAACAAAAAAAATCTGAAGTCTTCGAAATAGAAAAAAATCTGCGCAGTTTCTACTTCAATAAGGACTCTCTAAGCATTTGTTTTGCAGGAAAGATTTTGTCTTTTCATTAAATATTGCATGAAAAACTATTATTCTATACTGATAAGAGGGAAACTATTTTTTTTTTAAAGAGTGTTTTATTAAATCTTGATTTAACTGTCTTTGTAGACAAAAATGTGTCGTGTACTAATTAAATTTAAGAAAAAAGAAACAAGAAATAGAGTTATGACTTTTATCGTTAAGAAAAGAAGATTTGGGGAGCATCGAACTCTATAAGAAATATAGTATTTTAACAAAATTTAGGAGTCCTTTGAAAAATCTCGCGAAGAATGATGAATATTTTGTTTCTTATATANCATCGAGCACTTTTTGATTGAAAATAACTTGTGATAGGAACAATAAAGAGAGCTTCAGTTTTCATGTTTGAAAGTAGGAGACTTGGAAACATCGAACTCTATAAGAAATATAGTATTTTAACAAAATTTAGGAGTCCTTTGAAAAATCTCGCGAAGAATGATGAATATTTTGTTTCTTATATAGTTCGATGTTTCCAAGTCTCCTACTTTCAAACATGAAAACTGAAGCTCTCTTTATTGTTCCTATCACAAGTTATTTTCAATCAAAAAGTGCTCGATGACTTTTGAGTCACCCTCTACATATTTATCGAGATACATATATAAAGCTCATTCTGTTATTGATGAGTTTTCGAAATTTCTTGTTCGTGAATTTGTAGATTTTTTTGCCATACAAATACTATGGAGAGCCGTATATGTGTGCGAACACTATCTGACTGGTTTTGAAAAAGAATTCAAACTACTTCAAAGGGTATTGTTGAGATATCAGCATTCCTCGCTAAAACTGTTTTGCGCCACTGTTCATTGATTGAACATTTTCGAGAAATAATAACTTATGAATATCAGAGAATAGCTATTACTAATCGACTGATATCTTTAACAAATTAGTTTTAATCAATCCTACATATATTCTATACTTGGTTCGATTCGTCAGACGAAATAAAATAAATGATAAATTTCATTTTCAAGATTATGTGAGTTACGGTCTGTAATGCACAGTTGTCAAGATATCTAAGAGTCTGTGGTTACATAGTTCAAAACTCTTTTCAATCTGTATTTCAAGTATTAAAGTTTGCTGTCTTAAGGTATTCTTTCACGGTATCTTAAATCTGCAACCATCAAATTAGGATGGGATGATTCTTTATTTACCTCATTACCTTTTTTTATCAATAGAAAGTTTCTATTCTTGACCAATGTTAAAAACCAAATGAAATGATATTCACAGGAAGACAACCAACTAATTACTTATTCGCGTACTAAATATGGTCTGGTTGTTTACATTGACTGACAGAAGAACTTCTTTAGATCGAAAAACAATTGAATAGTAAATTTTGCGTTCGTGCTGTTTTGAAACTTGTTTCGTCGAATGTAAATGTCCTTGCTTGTTCTTATTAGTATCATTTATTTCCTACATTGTCTTTTACTTCTTAGTTGCGTATGTGATCCTATTCTCTTTTGACCATCATAATTGCATTTTTTTTGACTATACGAAACAGTACTAATATAATCAAATATATCCAAACGCAGAGTCATAGAGTTAAATATATTCAAAAAATTAGAAACATCAATCAGCCAGGCCAGAAAAAAAGCAACCTATTGGCAACTCTATTACATAAACATGGAAGTAAAATAAAACTAATCGCTCATTACGATATCTAATGTATGAAAGAATAAAAAATCATTGGTTTTTTTTTATAATAAACTTCTTTCGATTCTCTCATAAATTTTAAGACCAAGTATTTATGTTCATAAAACAATAGTTTAAAAATATCTAAACAAAGCAAGGCGAAAATCACAAAAAAAACGACATGAACAGTAAAATCTAATAAATAAATAAATAAATATATATGTATATATATTATGTTTTAATAAAAATATTTATTTCTTAGCCGAAGGTCATTTCGAACCAGATGGTAGATTATATCCTGGTTTGAATTCAAATGAATTAGATCGTAAAATTTTACAATTAAATCATCCATTTACATTAATGGTTGAAAAAAACCGTGAAAATTTACTTGATCATCCATTAGTACATTCATTACTTGATTATAAATGGAAATTATATGCACGTTATGTTTATTATTTTAATTTTTTATTTTATCTTTTATTTGTTATATCATTAACAACATATGTATTTATAACATTTGCTCCGTATCATTTTGGTATAACACATGAACAAATGAAAGAATCAACATGTTATGAATTATGTACATTTATTCAAAATAATCAAACACATACTATTAATAATTTACAATCACGTATACAAACAATACATATATTTCAATGGTTTGTTATTATTTTAGCATCAGTACAAATAGCTAAAGAATTTTATCAAGTTGTAGCTGAACGTTTAGATTATATTAATTTAGAAAATGCTGTTGAATTAAGTGCATTTATTCTTGCTATTTTATTTACAGTTGATTTTAATTCATGTTCAAGGGATATTGGTTATCGATGTGTTATACAATGGCAGATAGGTGCACTTGGTGTATTTTTAACATGGTTTGCATTAGTTTTGTTTATACAAAAATTTCCAAGATTTGGAATATTTGTTGTTATGTTAACAGATATATTACATACGTTTTCAAGATTTTTTCTTGTCTTCTTTTTATTTATTATTGGTTTTGCATTAGCTTTTCATATGTTATTACAAAATCATAATCCATTTCAACATTTTGGAAATAGTTTATTAAAAACATGTGTTATGATGATTGGAGAATTTGAGTATGAAGGTTAGAATTCTTTTTTGATATGAACAAGTGTTTTCTGTAATTGATAAAGAGTATATTTAAGATGATTAGCTAGGTTTTTAATAACATACATAAATCAGATAAGAGGAAAACAAAAGAGACTTCAGTCTTGAAGCCCAATAAGTCTTTACGTTATAGCTATTGTGAAACAGAATCTAGAAGGAGTGTTGAAGTATAGGATAAAAAATAGGCCCTCTCATTCCACACAGGCGTAACAGACACGTGATGAATAGCTCATCACAGACCATATATTGATAACGTCTCATTATAATATATGAAGTACTTGCTTATTGCATTTTTGAAGGATTACGTAAGAGTAAGGTGAAGAAATATGCGCCAAAATAGCTAGAATCAAAATGATCGCCCTGTGATTAGTCGCAGCAAACTGCATCGTGTTTCACATTTTACTCTTGTAGAGTTTGTGGTTGTTGAAATCTGTTGTTTCCCTCATCAAGAATAACTCTTTGAGATCTTAGTTTCAACTGAAATCACATACAATATGAATGCCTAATAAAACGTAGATCTGAAAAGAATAGTATAGTTTTATTTGAAGAATTTTCACTTCTCTCAAGATGAGAAATGTAATTAGAATAGTTCTTCTTTCAACTAATATTACAATTTGATCAACAGTTCTTCACACAAGTGAAATAATGGATGCGTCAAAATAAATGTTCTGTGTTTTCTCGATATTGTCATCGAGGTTTATTGCTATACCTTAATTTTTTTTTAAAACAGATTCACAATTCAATTTTCTACAAGAACATGTCACAAGTTTTACTACAATCTCAAATTTTCAAAGGTTATTTTTTTTCAGAAGAATTCAACATTTTGTTCTGGCTTTGTCCAAACGTAGCAACATGATAGAGTACTTTTTCAAGCGTACGCTGATGTATACTGAAGTTTGTTTCAACTAAGTTTTTTAGATGCAAACATTATTTTATAAAAACTAAGCAGAAAACACATAAGACTTTGCTTGTTTTGCGTAATGTTTCTAAATAAACAATGCTAATCAAATTCTAGTGTTACAGTCTGATGCATTCATTCATTTTCCTTCAATTCAAAATACAATTGAGTTACATTGACTAATTTTTTTCTGTCGATTAATGCATCTTTTTCTGAGAGTTCCAAAACTACTTATTCAAAACTGTTACTTTTTTGTAAAATTTGGAAAAAGAAATAGTTGATTGACATAACAGGTATAGATACGAAAGTTTTACTACTCGGATTATAAGATAAAGCTTTCCAAATACAAAAAGATTGCTATCTATTTGTTTTCTTCGTAAGTTTAAAACTCCAATAAATAGACCGCAACCAAATCTTTTTTTAATTTGTAAAAATTGCCCATATTGGAGTTTCACAGTATTACTTATCTAATTGTTTCGCTTGATATTTTGTAGCAAAATTTATAAAATGTTCTTCTAGAAAATTGAATCATGAATCTCTTCACAAATAAAGATTAAGGCATGGCAATGATTCTTGACGATGATATTGAGAAAATACTTAGAGGAATATTTATTTTGATGTGCCCATAGTTCATACTGTTATTGTAGATTAAATATGTATTCGATATCGATCAGGTTGAACAATTAAGTTTATGAACTCTTAGTTTCATCAACGAATACACACACGACCGAAAAAGGCTTTAATATATTATTATAATGATAATTTCTTGTGAATCATCTATACCATACTTGGAACCGGACCAGGCGGTTTTCATTGGTTTTTTTAAATGATTATTCCTAAGCACTAAACCTGGTCTAGTTTTCTCGTTTTTCAACGGTTTCTATGGTTTTAATGATCAGAAGATATGAGTCTGGAAGCCACCAACTGACAAATTTCCAGTCGTGATCAAAATCCAAGCTTGATTTATTGAGCTAACACTCTTATCGTAGGATGAGGGCATTAGGTCATTTTGAATGAGTTTATTATGGTCACGAAACATTAATCAGGCATTATAAGTTAATTTCGTTCTAAACTAAAACTTTTTCATTTCGAAATTTCAAGTTTACTTTTCTGGACTATTTTCGGTCGTCTTTCCTAAAAGCTCAATAGCTAGTAGTTTTCAATTTATGCTTTGATCACAAAATATCAGAAAAGATTCCATTCTGTTGTCAAGGTCTTGTCAACTACCAGCATCATGTATATATATATAAATATTTAGATATTAAGAAACCTAAAATAGGAACTCTAATATAGAAATCGCACGTTTTAGCTCACATGATCTTTCTATCGGCAACAGCATCCTTTTACGACTTCAGATGCATTTCAACTGTGCTAAATAATTATTTAAAATAAGAATAAATCAAATTAATCAATTATAAAGAAATTATATCATTGTTGAAAAGAGCCAACTAAAGCATAATATAGATGTTGTTGAGCATTAGTTGTTGTGAGTTCCTAGATAAAACATGTAGGAAGAAATTGTTTTTTTGTTCTTAATATTAGCACATATAAAACGTGACAGGCTAAAATAAGAGTTGCCACTGTAAGAGATCCCAAGAGTTATATGAGTTTTATATTGTATATCTTCGTAGAACTAAAGTAATAAACTGTTTCCTGCACTAGTTGTTTTTGTCGGTTAAATCAAGAATTACAATTGACTAATCCGATCAGTTTCAAGTATGCTACGGAAAGAACGGTTACCCTTAAACATATTTCAAAATATACTTATCTGAATCATTTTGTCATCACCTTATAAAAATCAATAAAAATTTCTTTATATTTTTCTTTAAGGAATATTTCATGGTGACGATGCAAATTATTTTGGTATAACATATTTCTTTTTCATAATATTTATTATTATTATGTCAATAATAATAATGAATTTATTAGTTGGTTTAGCTGTTGATGATATAGCAAGTGTTATGCGTGTAGCAACACTTAAACGTTTAGCAATGCGTGTTAAATTAACACTTGATGTTGAACGAAAATTACCACAACGAAAATTTTTTTCCTCAATTCGTCGTTTTCGTACTGTTGCATATCAACCATCATATTGGCAAAAGTTTTTAAAGAAAATATTTGGTATACAAACTAAAACACAGTTCGATAAAAACTTTACTCGCTTAGAAGAATATGGTTTAATACCAACAGCAGGTAATCAAGATCAAAAATCATCATTAATAACAACGAATACAATGAATCTACCTAAAATTGATGATAAAACTAAATCATCATCATCATCATCAACAGCAACAACGATTGGTACAGGTGGTATTGGACTTTCAACTGACTGGATTACAAATATTCACACACAAATAAATACAAAATATAATGAATTTAATCAACATATGGCACAATTAAAAACGCAACAAGAAAAAATTAATAATATTTTACAGCAATTTCCAACATCTGCAACAAGTAGACATAATTCACATTCAACATTTACACCTACAACTTGATAGAATTTTCTAATCAATTTTTTTCTTTTGCATGCTCATAGCTCAATATGTTTTTTTTTTGGTGTTGTGATCATTTTAGAATAATATAATTTTATTTAAACTTCTGTTTCTCTAGATTATACATGAATCATTCTTTTATTGAGGATGATGATTCCGATAGATTAATTCAACGTTGCATTTAAAAAAATTAATAACTTGAAAATTCATTTTTTTTATATGCTCGATAAATGCTGGAAGAAATTGTGTAGAAATAAGTATACAGCTATCAAAAAATAGCAAATCTAATCGATTTTGTATTTCATTTAACTGGAGACATTTGAGTCAATTCAAACAGTTCCATGATGATATATACTTAATAACTGTTCAATTTATCGAACTAATCATTGACTTTTTTTATTATTGACTTGACTTGTTCGATATTCAGCTTGTTTGCATTATCAAATTTGTTTCTTTCAGTTCTACAAGTCCAAGCAATTGAATTTATCATTATCATTGTATTAAAAAAAAACAAGGTTTGTGAAATTTTTTAAGAGTCCACTGAGTTAACCGTGTTACATAAACGAACAAGTATCAACGTAGCAATGTGAGAAGGCACGATAAAATAGGACTGACGCGGGAACCATTCAAACTATTCAATAGGTCTTCTATACAAAGTTACAACTGTGTTGTTCAATTTTTACCATAAAATGGGGTATTAGCAGAAAGATGGACTTTTACTCTGAATTTTCGTCTAGAGGTAGATCTCATAATTCTAACAATAGTCTATAATTTTCAATCGGAACAATAGCTTCTCTACAGAATTATTCAATGTTCAAAAAGACCGATTACATTTCCGACGCAGTTCAAAAAATCGGGATTTTTTAAGCACTGAATAGTTTAATATGAGATCAATTATTTTCACTAAAATTCAAAAAAAATATTCCTAGAGTCACGAAATTTTTACTCCATGACAAAATTTCACGTTAAAAGGTTTCTCGTTTAACTTTTCCACCAATATTTTGTACTAATAAAGGATACAAAAGTCTTTAGAAAAATGTTCAGCATTGTTTTGGACTGATGCACACACGTTCGTATGAATATTCTGCTATGAGATAATAGCTTGTTCAGCCCTTTTTCCAACAATACATGATATATTGTTACTGTTTATTCATAACAAAAATAACATGTGACGAAATAAAAGCATTGGCACAACGTATTTAACTTCTTCTATTATGCTTCTTCTAATTACGTCAAAACTACAGTAAATTTTTGAAAAAGCAAAAAAGGACATGATACATCTACTAGTAAGAAAGAGTCTAAAAATGTAAAAGTTTAATAATCTAGTTTTTTGAGACCTAAACAGAAGCAGCTAAGATATTGGTATTCGAGATATCCATCGAGGTCTCTAACACATAGAATGATTTTGCACTCACTCTCAGGGAAGACACTCAGATATGTTCCCTCGTCAGAGTGATGGATAGTAAATATCTTTGACTTTCATATAATCATGTATACAATATCCTGACTCAAGATCGAAAAGACACTCGAAAGCGTCGTTATGGAATCCTTCTCTTGTTTCTTCTGTTCTTTGCGTGATATCAGACAGATAGTCTTGACATACTAACTTCCCGTATAAATTTTTCAGGTTAAAAACTTCGAATAAGCTAATAGCTTATTATTATGTTGAGCAGAAAGTTCGCGGTCACTTGCAAAAAAGATCTAATCGGATAAGATGATCTATCCAGCATTGAGAAAGCAAATATACCAAATTGTAGAAAATTTCAAGGCGCATCGAATGGTATATAATAAGTCTATTCTCTAAAACGTTTAGGAAGAGTTATGATTAATTTACTGATGAAGGGAGAAGGCCCAAAATGGTGATAAATACCTAATCAGTATAGTCCCTATCCGTTCGTCGAAGGATGTCAGAAAAAGTATTTCTTATATACAGTTGTGTAGAGTTTTTCACGTGCTACAAGTCTATATATTTAACATCTTTAACACAACTGTGTATAAGAAATACTTTTTCTGACATCCTTCGACGAACGGATAGGGACTATACTGATTAGGTATTTATCACCATTTTGGGCCTTCTCCCTTCATCAGTAAATTAATCATAACTCTTCCTAAACGTTTTAGAGAATAGACTTATTATATACCATTCGATGCGCCTTGAAATTTTCTACAATTTGGTATATTTGCTTTCTCAATGCTGGATAGATCATCTTATCCGATTAGATCTTTTTTGCAAGTGACCGCGAACTTTCTGCTCAACATAATATATACATTGACGTTACGTAAGTCAGAATTAGCGTTGGAAAAAGTTCCTCTTACCATTGAAGCAAGTTGCACACTTGCATTGTTCTTTTTTTTGAAATAAAACTTCTCTAAGAGTCAGTTTCGATGAGTCTCACAAACGAAAGCGGTACCACAGTTAAACTTATACTGATAAAACAAATCACTTGTTAAAAGCATTTTTTCTAAAACTCTTTCAGCCTCACGAAAGTACTTTGCTGTTAATTTCTCATTTTCCAATTCTAATAAAGACATTCAAGTAAATTTAGACGAGCAAACAACTTCATTAGAACAACCAGAAAAATAACATAGAATAACATCGGGCACACATCTATATAGAAATTTTTTTTCTTATTTTCAATTTTTCTCTTCACTAACATGTTTATTGTATTACATTTGATCAAATAGTAAATTCATGTCAAAAAGATAGAAAGAATAAGTTCAATCAAATCGTCCCTAGAACTACGTAGTATTTTTTTCACATGACATATTTTAATAGTTCAATATCAACTATTCGATCTTACCTCTTTAGAAAATAAGACGCATTGATTCTTCAATTTATATACAAGACACATTCCTTGAAGAATCGCTCTTTCGTGTCTAAAGTATTTATTATAGATTATAGCTGAATAAGATCATGGGTTTTTTGCAGAAAAAATTGTTTACATTATTTTTTCTCTATACATACTGACTCATCGGTAAACATTGTAAGGCATTTTGCATCTCAAGGGATAACTTTTATTTCAACGAATTTTTAGTCATTTTGTAAAGGAAAAAAAAGTAGACAACATAAATAAAAATTAATCTGAAATCACTTAAAACGACTAAATGGCAGTTGATATGATATAAAATTTTGTACGTTTTTAACTCAAAAAAGTTGAAGTCATGGATAGTATTTAACATACAACTTTATATTAGCAGATTGAAATATAATATGTTAATAAGTGATTTTGTTCAGCTTTCAATGTTCTATCTTTTGATATATTATACGAAAAATTTTGTTAATAATTTCGTTATCTTAAGAAGCTCATCTTTACACAGATGGGTTTTTTATGACATTTTTCAAATATTTGCCTTAGTGCTCAAAAGCCAAGCCGGACTAAATTTTCACTAGCTCAATCGGATGCACTAAAAATTTAGACTTAGATGATGCTGATCAAGATGAGAATATCAAATCGAAAAACTAAATTTTGATCAATGCCTCGATTGCTGGCATGATACTCGATGATTCCATAGAAGCCGTGTTAAAAATATTATAATATATGCATTATGTTATGACAAATAATCTTGAGGTGCATGTAAGAAGATAATGAATCAACCATGGATAATTTAGAGCAAAGAGAAGCGATATTAGACTACAGCAACAGTGGTTGATGTAACATCTCATCTCGTCCTTTTGGTGTTAACAGCTAGTAATATCAAATCATGGCAGTATGAATATGCATTCATTTACCTCTTATTAGAAAAGTTAACTTAATACATTGTTAGAAAGAAGAAGAAGTCTCCTTGCACAGTCATAAAGCGGTTGTAACGAAATGATTCTAAGTTGAGAAAAGAAACTGAAAAGTTCTCAATAAGGAGCACCTTGGTAAAGTAAGTCCTTTTATCAGGTTTCAATGTTGCTAGCATCAGAGAGGTTTTACTATAGATTATTGTCAAATGCTCTATGTTATTTCTACTGCTGTAGTTATGTTATGGTTGCTCTCTTTTTTTTCTGGTGCATTATTTTTCAAGAATATCCTCATTCTTTAATGCGCTTATATATATACATACTGTCTTTATTATTGACGAATTTAAGTGTTTCTTCATTTTGAAAAATATGTGTCGTTGTTCGTTCGTTACGAAGCAGAGGTATACCGATATTCTTATACAACAAAACCTTTTTATTTTTTCATTCAGAGAGAAACAAAACTACATGTAGACCTCATTTGTTTATATTCCGTTGAAAGTTAAAACTAAACAAATGAGATTTTATGAAAGTAGATAAGTCAACGACAAATTCTGTAATTCAGATCTCATTATAATAAATGAATAGATGATTTAGATGAAATTAGAGTTTCTGATATTTAAAACATGAAAAAAATTGTTTTTTTTTAGTATCATAAGATTTTCATGTTGTAATTTTCAGCCAAGTAAAATAAAATGATTGAAAAATCACTTGTCGGTTAAAACAAAAAATTCTGCCCTCAGAGGGTTAAAAGTAATTGGTTGAATAGATGAAAACAAGAGCCATATGGACAAATGCATCCATATTCACTTCGACATGTACACGCATATCGATACTCAAACTAGGACTCATGCATACCTAACTTCATGTATACATTTGATATTAGTGTCGATTGGACTTATAAAACAGTAAGTTATAAAGAAAGAATTGAATATTCAGTCGAAGGTGAAGCAAGTCATTATTATTCAAATACTGTTCAAGAAAGTTTGAATGAAGAAAAATTTATCTCACGTTTGTCCAATTGAAATTATATAAACTCTACTTGAATGAAAAATATATGAAAACAATTAGGAAGCAAAAAATGTTGATCATTTGATTCGAAGAATCAAATAAAAGGTAAAAATATTTGATCAAGAACTATAATAAGTCATGATGAAGGATGTTAGAAAGAAGCTTTAAGCTATGTGACAAGATGAACTGTATTCAATTCTCTAAATAGAGCTCTTGATAGTACTTGTCATGCTCTTTTTTTAATAAGAAAATTATTAACTTTCCATCT